AACCCAACCTAACCCAACCCAACCTAACCTAACCCAACCCGCAAGAACACACCACTCCATTTGCGGTACAGGCTTGTCAAAAAAATGTACACTTTAATTTCAGATCGACATACCCGTCATCTTAATTGCGTATCGATTCTGTACTACACTCACCACAAACTTTATCTGCCAATACCGTCACGTACTTTGATTTACCAGAGTAGAGTAACAAAGTTCGATCGCAAAAAACCAAGTGTGTCATGTGACAACACCGCTGTATTATTTTATGTTGGACACTTGTTAGTAGCGCAAAGGTTAAGACTGTATCACGCAAAGACTGATAAACTTCGCGGACACCAGACTATCGGGCCGTTGATGCATGAACTGGCCGTTCGAAACTTGTCTTTAGGGCCAGAAACAAAACACACGTTACATTCGTCTCTGTCACAGCAAATAAACCTCATCACAGCTTATCCTACTCGCTCGGCGATCTTCACAGACACGGTGAAAGTAAGTGCACGCAACACACAATAGCTGGCAGTGCGTGCATCCTTTGGCTAACAGCGAATTTCCTATCGATATCCGACGTTTTAATCGATCTTGACTCTTCAAACTGCTACGTAGGCCCGTGTAACTAACTACATTATGTTCAAAACGCTGTGCAGTGTTTTTTCACGTCAGAAATTGTACTGAGCGACATCCAAGTATAAATAAATAAGAACGCTAGTATTTTAAATACTTAAATAATAGGAGTCTTAAACACAACAAACTCACTTTCCTCGTATCACAAAGCTCTCTTAGTCACTCATACATGTCTTTCGTCCAAATAACCAAATTAATCGTCTCCCCTAATTGTTTTTAAAACAAACGTATTTCTGCCCTTTTCAAAATAAGAAAATAGTGAGATTTCACATTCTTATGGCGGCGAGTATGGGTTGTTGTACCGTGTAGCCTGATAGATGTTTACCACTGTTTCACATGTGTTTTCTGCCTCCATCATCACGGCGCCCTCGTGATGGCGGAAGCAAGCAACTCTGAAACGTCGGTAATCTTCTACCATGACCACACGGTGCAACAACCCAGAAGGCAGCCATCTTCAAATATGCTATCAAAGATTACACGATATAGATTATCAGTGTCCTGAATCCATATCGATACTCGAAAATCACGTAATATCATACGAGTTTATCGCTATTTATTCAGTCTCAATGAATGACTCTCCAATTTAGATCAAAAGTTGTGACGATAACCTGTTAGATCACGTGCAGAGGTCCTACGTAACACTAAATTCACAATAACCTCATATAAAACTGTGTCCTGGTTCTCAGAAGTGTTTCAACAGTACAATGAAGTTCAAAAAAAGTATAACTTCAATTTGAAACACTTGTAGATGCGGTGAGTAACGAAACACAAATAAAAATGTCGACTCCATATGTCCTGTGTTTTAGTTTCTCCGCCAGACAGATCGAACTGCTATAAATAAACATCAGCGTCAGTTATAGTCGGCGTAGTAGTTTTTGGCCGATGGAATTTTCAAGGGGAAGGCTAGGAGCGAGTCTCTTGTGCGATAGTATAATGCTGACTGAACGCCCAAACAAAAGAAATACGCTGACCGTGCCACCTCAAGTACACAGACTAGGCCCGTCCGCCAGCCTCGCTGGCTTGGAATTTTCAAGGGAAAGGCTAGGAGCGAGTCTCTTGTGCGATAGTATAATGCTGACTGAACGCCCAAACAAAAGAAATACGCTGACCGTGCCACCTCAAGTACACAGACTAGGCCCGTCCGCCAGCTCCGCTAGCTTCTCCACCGGCCAAAAACTACAGAGCCGATTATACCAAGGGTATACAAAACAGCATACAGTCCCGATGAAGCATCGTCCTCCTCTCAACTACAATTTCAATTCAATTCATTTATTTAAGTACTTGACAACACCCAAATAAGGCCAATAACAGCCAAGCACTGATAATACATACAATAATAATGAAATAAAAGTAACCATTTTACTATTACAGTCCTACCAACGCTTAAGTTTCCTAAGTGATATCTCCGACCAAAATTCGTCTGCTTTTCTCACTTCTTCCAAGCACATCACGTGACTCCTCCAGTCTCCTCCCACTTCCTTCCTCTTCGTTTCAAAAAAACTGGTCGCCTCAGGTGACAAAGTTGTTATTCTGGTTTGCGGACTTGTGGGTGATAAAATTTTTCAAATGAACCCAATGCCTCCATCTTCAGTCGTGAAGATGGAGGGATCCTGCTCCTCTGGAAAATGTGAACTGCCTACAAGTTCACACGGCGTCACAAACCGGAAGGCCACAATCGACACCTTCACCTGACTTCTTTGTGTTTACACTCAATCTACATATTATTCCCACAAGCTGATGAACCAAGTTTCACACCCAGAATCGTGTATTTTAAGCTTTGCTTCCTGAGACATCTCGCAACTGAACTCTGAAATAAATAATATTAGAAAACACGTGCATTACACAAGAATGTACAGTTTCATCGTGAACCATAATTCCAGCAAGATGGCGTGTTTAACACAATAAGTGCCAGACAGCAATATGGCGGTGTGACAGCCATGTTGGCACAGCACAGTGACGTACGCTATTCGAATGCCATCTCGTGGTGTTCAAGATTCTCGTTACTTCCGGATGAATTCCAGGGTCTCTCTTACTGGATACTCATCTTTTCCAGTTCACTGTAGAAGATAAATGATTTCATCCAACATCGAATAACACCTGCACTTAACAAACAATGACAAAACAATAGAACCGTGAGACAGAAGGAGATGACTGTTGCGTCAGAGACACAGATACAGAGAAATCATTTCACGAAGGCCGCGGGGTCGAGTCTCCGGGGTTCCGGGCGGTACGGTAGACGACCATGAAAACAGGCTTATATTAATTTACATGCCACGGTGGTCTAGCGGTTAGAACGCTGGCCTTGTAATCCTGGGGGTCTCGGGTTCGATTCCCGGCGGTGCCCGAATTTATAACTTGTGTTGGGCAAGGCCGTGGTCTAGGCAACACGGATTTTTCC